GAAGGGGCTCTGCAGCTTAAGAGGCACCGAGCCCCCTGTGCAGCCCGCGCAGGGGCAGATGGGCCCCGCTGACATTCCTGTTGCAGAATAGCCCTAGGCAGTGACCTGCTTCTGGGTCCTGTTTGCACCGGCTCAGCCAGCCCGGGGGGAGGGTCGCGGGTGCGGCCAGGCTGCCTTCGCTAATCCCCCGCCGAGGAGAGGGGGTCTGGGCGTCCCTGGCAGGCTCCCGGGGGCGGCTGGGGCTGCAGGGGTGGAAGAGACCCTCCGTGTCTCAGCAGTGGTTGGCTGCACCAGCACCCTTGGGGAGGGTGCCCTGGACCGGTGTGCAGGGTCCATATGTGCTCCCCCACCCCAGCGCCTGTGGCAGGTCCAGGCTCAGGTCCCCCCGGTGGGTTGGGTGCTCGGCTTTCCCCAGCTCTGGTCCTGCAGTGAGGTTGCCAAGACCCCCCGCACCGTGGTCAGGGCATGCAAGGGCCCCAGGCTTCATCCTTCCCCAAAGGAAAGGGTGGACCACACTTCTCCAGCATCCAGGGCTGCTGTTGCACTGGTGGCATCTCCATCCCAGGGACCCCCTGGGTGACCTTACAAGGAATTGCCGTCCCCTTTTCTCATCTCTTTTAATTCATTTTTGGAGCGGGGCTGCAGCCTGCCCAGGGCTCACACCCCTCAATGGCTGTCCCCTGGGTGGGACCCCTGGGCCCCCCTGGCTGGGTGCTGCAGGGCTGTGGATTTGGGCACTCGCTAGCCACCGAGTCATGCACCACCTTGTGTAAGTGGGACCTCTCCATGGCCCTGCCGGGTGCTCCAGCCAGGTGCCAGGGACACGCAGTAGGATTGTGGCCACGTCACAGCCCCCAGCACGTCCCAGGGAGGGGTGTGGGCTCACGGGTGGGGAGAAGAGGAGCTGCTGGCAGTGCCATGGCTCCCTGGACAGTGACAGTGCGGTGCCCTGGATAGCTAATGGGGCTGAAATGCTGGACGGTGGAAATAACCAGTTTCCAGCTGGGAGGGAGGAATGCAGCCGCCCCGGCAGGGAGCAGGGCTTGGGGAGGTCCTGCC